TTCAATCAAAGTCAGGAGAGGGGGTCTTTGGTTACTGTGGTCCTTTCCTCTGAATCAAACTACCTGCTTGCATTCCTGTGTTTTTATCATCAATTTAAAGCCCTTTGAGTTTACCTGTAATGAATCTATAAATAAACTTGATAGCCATGTACACATTTGCAAACATACAACCTGAAAGAAACTGTTGGCTTTATGTGAGCATTATCAGCCAGGACAGCTTAAATTTCAGTGAACATATTTTGAAGGATTTTCACAATAATGTTTTGGCACTTCCTTTCATCTGAAAGAACATAAAATTAAAGGTAATTCAATAAGTTGAAAAGATTTAATTTGTGTGAATTGGAAGCAGATGACTTTGAAACAATTCCACTTTTTCATACAAGTTATGAAATAAAGATGTTTGTGTTTCTCTGGCACAAAGGGGGAAATAAATTCAACAACAAAAGGTTCATTATTGTCCCAACGTTGAATAATTGTGTATAACTCAATAGAAGTGCAACTGAAGCTTAAATTAAGTTCCCAGATTAATTTTTTGGAAAATGCATATTCATAGTTCAAGGGAAAAGAAACTCTAACAATGTTCCTTTTGAGATCGTCTCTTGTTTTTAGCTGATAATTGGACAGAATAGAGTGAAGAAAGGACTTTTATTAAAACCATGCTTTGACAATAAAAGGTGCTGTTTAAATTTGTGATCATGGAGAACAACTTAAGTGATGGTAATTCAAAGTCCAAATGATGGAGAAGGATTCACCTCGATAGCTTCTTCAGGCTGCGACTCTTGTCTCCTTTGGAGCCTTTGAGGACAAATGACCTGGTGGGACATTTCAGGAAACACAAAAAGGAAAGGTCAAGAAATAAAGAACGTCTGCTCCGTCTTCTCCCAGGTTTTAATTCAACCTTTGAGGCTTATTCAAACTTACCCCAGAAAAACTAAAAACTCAGATTTGTGATTAAAACTCACCTACGGGACTGCACCTGCAGACGTCGCTGAGCAGCCGGACCCACCGAGGGAGTCGACGTGACCTGCGACCTCTCTGTGGTCACGGATGTCGCGGGGCTCACAGAGGTCGTAACACGTGGGGTGGTGGGGTTTTCACTTGGCATCATGGGGGCTGCTGCCTGGGGTCCACACACCTTCTCCACCTGACGGAGACACAGTTTGCAGCGTGGTGTTTATGGGATGTGGATGCTTTTTGAGACCAATGCAATATGATGCACATAAGGTATAAAGGATCATTTTCGGTATGACATATCCCGACGGCTCATTGGATAATCTCAAATACCGTCATGTAACAGGCTTTTTTTGGATGTGGTGTGTTTGTGACTTCCAGTGTTCCTTGCGCCAGCATCAAGCGGACACTCGGCGAACTGCAGGATTTTGCACATTTTGTTTTTCAAGACCGGAGGTTACCACTTGATTTATACATACAGTCAAACTCCCTGCTGCAAAAACATAGTCAGTGATGTGTTCACTGTTGTATTGGCAGAGCTGTCCTCTTTTTAAAGTCATGTGTTGCAGTTTTACAGCTGGTTCAGGAGGCTGAGATGCATGTACCTTTAAGTCTGCCTTTTATTTCTGGCCCTATTGATTATTGTGACTAAAAAAATAAATATACTTAATTAGCCTTAAATAATAAAAAAAAAAAAAAAAGTAAGTTTATTTATTTCCTCCAGAAACAAAAACATGTGGTCATTTAATGTTTTCACTACATTATAAGTTATAAGTTGAGCTTGACAGTCTTCCAAAGTCTCAGAGAAACTGCGGCATTTCAATTTCTGCTATAAGGACAAGTACTAATTTGTAGTATGAAGACGGAGGCAACTAGAATGTTTGACTTCTGCCTTCTGGATATCTTACTCCCTGCCAGGGCTGCTAATGAAAAACCTTCTTAAAATGAATATTGCATTACAAACATAATCCATTTAACTTTCCCAAAAAAACATCCAGTAGGTAATCACATTTAACCATTGTGAAATCTAAGCGTTACCAGCAAAACATTACCTCTCTTTGTGTTCGGTATATGCCGCAAAATCAAATCACTTTCTGTGCTGCATAGCTAGACCATTGAGCAAATGGACATCAAAGTCCAATTTTGTGCAGCATAACACAAAATAAATGACAAAGGTCGTGAAAATCAGTTTTTCCCTGTCGAGTTTCTGTTTGCAGAAAACACTGCTGTCTTAAAAATTCATGCTGCAATCATCCTTTAACTTTGAATGCTTCCCATAGCACATAAACACTACCAAGGGATTAGGAGTCAGCCTTTAATGATGTGTCCAATGAATAAGAAGCTTGATCAAAAATCCCATGAAGTGGTATTTCCTTATTAGCCACAATTAGTGGTGCAATTATGCTTGTGTGTGTTTGTTTACCTCTCAGGAATCTACTCTACTAAGTCCACAATGTTCCCTCAAAGTTGGATGGCTACTCTATTCCTTCCTCCAACAGTGTGTGCATGCATGCATGCGTTTGTGTGTCGTCTGTTTGTCCAGAGATTAGCCACAGAAACTTTCTCATCACTCAGAACCAAGCTGCATTCTGGGTATCCGTTGTCCCGCCAACCACAGGCTTTGTCTGGCACTGGATCTGTATTCACACTCACATACACACACACACACAACACACACACACACACACACACACACACACACACACACACACACACACACACACACACACACACACACACACACACACAGACACAGACTGAGGGGAACCCCAGATTCGCGGAAGAATGAGGCTGTTTTTAGCCCATCTAGGTACAAGGCTTTTTGTGAGGAGGATCCAACTGCCAGGCTGAAAGAAAAACCCACGGCCCTTCCTCTCTCTGTGTGTCCAAAATTCAAATGACTTTATTATTTGGGCATATGAGTACGGATGGTTTAGCAATCTGTCTCCTTTTATTCTATTTTTACAGAGGCACATTACCAGGGAAGCAATTATTTGAGGGGACTTTTCTGAGAAGACTTGCTCTCTCCATCCTGAGTCTAAAGTGAATGTTGTACAACAGATAACATGCCACTTAAATGTCCCTCCCCGTCTTCCCATCATCATCCCGTCCTTTGCTCACCGTGGCTGTGATGCGCGGCCCATGCAGCTGAGCGTGCAGGATAGCATCATTCACATGATTCCTGACTGCTAACAGGGCCAGCTCCATGCTGTTGCTGTTGCTGCTGGTTGCTAAAGTGGCAGATAACCGTTGAAGCAGCACCACCAGACTCCCCCAGGGGGCGCCAAGCTCTGATACACCCACCTTAAAAGAGAGGATAGACAGAAAAAAGGAAATGGACATTGAGAAAAGGAAAAGGAGGAAAAAGGTGGTGCAAATGGGAGGGGAAAGAGAGGATGAGCAGAGCAAAGACGTGATTTAATCTTGATTCTTGAAAGTTTTTTACAATTGTAGAAATGTATTTACATTTTCTGCAAACATAACAATTAAAAATCAATCCTAAAGTGACAAATTGACTTTTAAACACTGCGTTAGGGATTAAAACAAATGTTTGGATGGCACAAATTGAGATGAATGAAGGTTTTATCTCAGCCATGGAGATAAATTAAGTATATTTTTAATTAAGTATTTTCTGATATAATTGCCAAGATCCCATTTTCCATAAACTGAGCTACCGTCTGTCACAGAGAGGCTCTTCCTTCTCGTCTGTCTGTTTCTCTTTCACTGTCAGGGGAAGTGTTTTTCTTCCTTGCTTCCACTGAAGAGCATAAAAGATGATGGGAATTGCATTTCCATAAGACTTTCTATGCTTCCAAGGAACTCTTAAGAGGGATGAACAGTGCTATCTTCCAGTTTTGTGCTATAAAAAAAGATTCCCTCCCTATAGTGGGTGCTGCTGAAGCAGTCCAGCAAATTATGACGCAGGCCAGGGAGACGCACGGAAGACACTGCCAATTCTCCTGGCAGCGCTCATGTCTACGTCTGTCTAAATCTTAATATGGGAATGGTTCATTGCTGATAACATTCTGTGAACGGCTGATAATAAGTACTTTTTAGACTTGCCTCTCTAGACACACAAGGAGACAAATAATCCCCTCTGCATCTAAATACAATACAAACACTCACTCAAGAGAAAAGAATACAATCGGACTGACTTTTGCTAATTTATAAATGATAAATCTGCAATCTAAAATACTTCACTCTGGAAATGGCAGGAGGTGTAAGGAAAAAAATAATCTGAAGAAGTTCCACATTTGGGAAAAATACTTTTTTTTGTAATAGATTATAACAACAAACAAATCGCTGTTTCAACATTTCCACTTTTGAACAAATAAAATGGAACCTGATGAAATATGTAGATGCTAATCATGTTTACATTTCTGATAGTTTACCACCATGAAGAGTTTGGCATTTTGGCTGTAGCTATATCTTGATTTTATTGGGCCTTGAAAATGACAATATATGGACTCCTCCTTACACCCAGTGCAGTCGCCCCCTGCTGGCCATTCGTGAGAAATCATGTTAAAGCCACTTCTGCATTGTTTTATTATTTTAACCAAGATGCTACTTATACTTCTTTTATGCAATCTATGAGTTGCCCCCCCCTTGTGGCAGTGAGAGGCAGTGTAGTTGCTTCCCCTTCACTTGCAGGATCTTTGTAAGGGAAACATTAACAGTAAATGCAAAACATGCAAACACTCACCAGACATCCCCTCATAATGTTGACACACAGTCCGGTGCAGGGCCGTATCAGTGTCAGCCCTCTGCAGTGGGAACAGTACTGCATCCTCACTAAACCCCGCCCACACTCTCTTGATAACGTCGCCTTCTCAGTCGCGTTCACAACCTCTCCAGCCAACCTCAGCAGTCGGCTAAGTGCTCGCCCAGCCCCAAGTGCACGAGACAAGCTGCTGACGAGAAGGCGTGGATGTGGTCCGAATGGGCTGACGTCCTGCCTCGTCATCCTCAGGCAGTCGTCGTGATTGGCGGAGAGGGGGGAATAGGACTGGGGTGACATGTGTCCAATGCCGGGGTTAAGCAAACGGCGATAGACCAGTGGGAAAAGATCGTTGTAGAATCGACGCACGGTGCTCTCCAATGAGGAGTTAGAGTTTCCAGAAAGGTGGCGTTTGATGCCGCTGAACAGATGAAGCACAAGGGGGCGACAGTCGGATGCCAGAGCAGAGTAGGCGCTGTCGAACAGAGTGCTGGTCAAGTTTGATGTGAAGGATACGAGCGAATCAAAGGTCTCTGAAACAAGAGGAGAGACAAGAAGACAAACATTTTTAATGTACCATGTGCACAAGTGACAATGACAACTAATCATGACTGTAACTTAAAGGCTTTACATGCGATTTTTTGATCCAGCAGATGTCGCCCTTGAGCACCAGCATGAAACCAAAACAACTCGCGCTGCATTGTCGTGTTAGCATGCTAATGCTAGCGATCTTTATTATGCTGGTATCTTCACACTGCATGTAAATTTACCTGAAATGAACGTGATCTAGAAACACAGTTAAGCAGTGAGTACAGTATGTTATTCTTCTTTTCTCTAGTCCCTCAATTAAACAACTTTTATACGTGAGGGGAGGAATCAGCCGGCCGTCCCGGCGATGTAAACAAAGTGAAGATAGGACTCTGAAAACTCTGAAAACATCACAGACAGTGGGACTCGGGTGTTACACCCATTGTAGACAGTCATGACTCACAGAGTTATTTTCAGAGGATATACTTGGTTTATATTACATTTAAGTGTGAAAAATCACATATAAAGACTTTAAACAAAATGGTATATAAAGCCTTTAAAGGAAAAGTAACGTTGCTAATGCTATAAAACTGTTTTTTTCTGAATAGGAACACTTTGTGTAGCATTAAAATGCTTGGCTAGTACGAATTCTACTTCAACAACAATCCTGTTCACAGTTAATCTCTTAAACTCAAAAACAGTAGCCTATATCGCAGTAAATAAATTTGACTGCCACTTGCGACAGCTGTTCATAACTCACAAAGAAAACAAGGCACTGCTGGCTGTGACTGTAATGTTAGCCAAAGTTAGCAAAATGTCTGCTTTCTATCATTCTTTCCCCCCCATGATTTACCTTTCAGGTATGTATGCCTTTATTTAGTCAATAGGCCAGTGGACAGCGTATGAAACCAGGAAGATATTTGGGGAAATGACATGCAGGAAAGTAGCCAAGGGTCGGAGTCAAACCAAGGCAGCCCACTCTGAGGGCTATAGCCAGTGTACATGGGGCACGTGACCTAACTAATGGGTCAACCGGCACCCTTTCTATCCATCTTGTGTTGTATCTCTCTTTAATTTAAACTTTAAAAATGTATTGCACAAAATAAAGCATTTCCATGTTGATCACAGAGCAACAGGAGACGACACAAGCAGAGCTGCTGCTAACGTTAGCTTAGCGTGTATAGGTAAAAAAATCCTAAAAAAATCTTAAAATACTTGACAAGATAGTAATATATTATTGCGTAATCACTTTTTGTTTAGAGTTATAAGTATTACAAATGTTTCCACAAGTAAATAAGTTCTGTTTTTCATTGATGGTCTGATGATTAATTTGATCGTTCTATTGATTACAAAAATAATAGTTAAAAAGTGCAGTACAATGAAAATACCCAAAAAGGTCAAAATTGCAATATTGTACAAAGCTAAAAAATGAAATACACAACATAAACAATATGAGGATGTTTTTTCATTTGTGTATCTTTGAGAACTTGTTTTCATGTAGTGCAATAAATTATCACATGCTACCTAACCAGATAAAGATTGCTATATAAGTATGATCACATACGAACATACTGATGTGTTATTTAATTTATCAACAGCATGTCTTTATAAATGTCATTCTAATTCTAAATAGGGGGTAAAACAGATATAGATATGGTTCCACATGAGAAGGGGCATTTCCATACATGTCTGTATATTAGTTTTCCTTCTTGAAGTGTCACTAACCTTGGACTGACTTTATCCTGATGGTTGGAGCCAAAATAGCAACAACTTAATTCACCCCTGAGCTCGTTTTCACTGCCCTGTCATCTACAGTCAGGTGATAATGAGAGGCCTGATCTCAGGATGCTCTGTCTTTCCTACATCTGACACGCTCTAATAAAGTGGACAGCACTATTAACAGAGGCTGGGTGACGGGCAGTGTGTGTCTATGTTTGAAGCTCACCAAGTAAAAAGAGTGATGTCAATGTGATGGCATCCTGACACACAAATACACTGAGACACACACACACACTCACACACAATAAGAGTATAAGAGAGAGAGAGAGAGAGAGAGAGAGAAGTCTTTTCATCTCTGACTTTCACTTTGTCATTCAGTCATTGTGAATGCATGTGTGTGAGTATCAAACCAGCTTTGTTATGGCACCGTCAAATTTACAGCCACTTGACTCTCAGGAAATTATAGGGAATCAATACATGAATTTAAATCCCTGAAACATGCATCAGCCTTTCCTTTCTATGTGGCTAATTCTAATTCAGTAAGAGTGTGAAGGGTGTACATGTGGACTGTTGTTCGAAAAATGGTCCCCATGAAATGAAAATAATTTTCCCATTTTTAATCCAGCGTTGTGTTTCATGTTAATTTGTCTGCCAAATATAATTCAGTAAAGCATTATCAGAGTAATTTTACATAAGAAAACTGAATTTTTCTCTTGCTCTGAAATGTTTCAATTGCCTGATGACTCATCCTGCACCCTGGGGCCATAACTTATTTTCAACATAATAAAAAGCTTTGTCAAAGCTACGATCCAATGAAATTCATCCCAAAGTCCCGCCTTCTATCTTGTTTTTGGTTCTATCCCATATCAGTTGGAAACAGCAGTTAAATACTCTTGTAGTCCAGTTTCATGGGGCCTTAAAGTAGCCGATCCAGTCAGGCATTTATTTAAGATGGATGGATGGATGGATGGATGGATAGATG